TAATCAATGAAAGAATTAGTGTCATAATAACAATATGTTATCAATGGAAATAAACAAACAAGGGGGACGAAAGAAAGGTAAAATAAACAATAACAACAATTAACAAGCTCACTTTCTATCACCTAAAACTGTGATACTTAAGAATTCTCGAAATGATTTTGTCTGCTTCTCTTAATAATACTCTTCCCGAACGAACTTATATTCAAATCGAAATAAACCTATCTCTCTGGTGGGATTTGTTAAATAATATGATAAAAATAATTTGTTAACAATGGGAAGATGATTATTTTCTGGTGTCATATGATGAGGTAACCTTTGTTATGATTGTTGAGTATTGAATAACTGCTTCGTGATGGCGTTAGTATCGTTGACTTGACCGACGAGCGAATTGTTGTTGTGATTGTTGTTAAATGCTGTTGTCATTAGATGATGAAGTCAATTGGCGATGTTGTTAGTTGCCCGTTAGTTGATGAGGTTAAATTGTTCGCCTTCTCTTCCTCTCGGCACCCTCCTCCGACGCCGAGGTTGCTCCAGGCAGGGCTATGTGCGAAAAATCGCGGCCCAATTCCTGGAGACGCTCGGCGTTGTCTTTCCTTGCGGCCATCGTCTGCTTGGGTGCCGAGACACACCGCTCGGCGCGGTGGGCATCCATACGAATTGTTAGTTGCCTCTCAGAGAGGCCTTCGGGCACCTTGACGGTGTGGCCGCACCAGGTGCAATATGCTGAAATTCAAGACATTATTCATTAAGTGGTAGTGTTAACGTTGAATTCATGGAATGAAATGAATTCATCACATTGATGATTTGAAACGATTTCGCATTCATAGAAATTCGAAGGTTATCAGTAGTACCTGTGGGCTCGCTTTACTACGGTAACTAGCCACGCCCACAAATTACAGTAGTACGCCACGCCCATGTTCAGGCCACTGGTTAAACGGAGCATGAAACTGCATTACCTCCTTATATGAAGGCATGAGAAAACTCTGGAAGTGGGCGTGGCTAGTTACCGTAATTAAACGGATCCACCGATATTCCTTAAACAATGTGGTGTTTAATCGACTCTTTTCCATCACAATTTACTATTCGAATTTTTGATGAAAATTTCGAATAGTAAATGCTCTGGACAGTTCGGGATATGAGAATGAACGTAACCTCACCAAATGAAAATAACTTTAGGTAAAGTAAAACAATGTGCTGAAACATACTGTTAGATTTGTGGCACTTGGCCCGCCTGACGTGTATTTTCCAGGCGGCCACGGTGTTAAATGGCGTGGCTCGCCTGGCGCAGCCAGACAGCTGGCAGTCTGAAATTAGTGGAAATGAGAAGAAATTCATTGATGGAGTGTAAGTTACTAGTCACAGTAGATTAATGAGTGTATTCCTTCAATATACTCAACGACCATAAGTAATATGAACTATGATGCACAATTAACTAAGCCACCTTGAACTCATACTGCAAGTAAACATTCAACATCATTTGATCAAATTATCGTTGTAATCAANTAAGCATTAAACGAAATACTTACAGATTTTGTTATTGATTAGTTTGTATGGTTCTGGGATGGTAGTGGCCAGCTCGGCTGCATGGTGAGTCGTTAGTGCGGAGATGTTAGCCGCGTGAAATTCGGGGTTAATTCGGACGGTTAGCGGCGATGCCTCGCGCCGCGGGTGGCGGCTGAAAGAAAGCGAACAAATCATGAACAGTCATGAAGTAATCATGAAAGAATGTTCATCTATCTCTTCCTGTAAGTCTTTCGATTCACATTTTCCAAAGTTTCTCATTAAACAGTAATGACTCTTCAATTCAATACCTTTCTGAACTAAGAGTAATCAAAAAAAACAAATGAAAACATACAAGTTATACGGGCATCGAGTTGTCGTGTTAGTCGTGGATGTTGGTGAGTTGGGGGGTGAGGAAGGTGAGGAGGGTGAGAGGGGTGAGGAGGGTGAGGATGTCGACGCCATCGGTGAGTCCATTAGTTGAGGTGAGCCGTTATTGAGGTTATAACTGTGGTTATTGGGGGAAGTTAGGACAATGTTAGGAATGGGGAAGTCTGGGCGGCTCGAGGGTCCGGGCAGGTCTTCCTCTTCTTCGGTTATTGTG